AGTTTAATGTTGGCTTTGTCCATTTTATCTCATTCGGCGCCATTTACTAAACATTGCTAGGAGCAATTAGCTGTGTCACCCGACTTGAAGTATACAGAATCCGGGCAACGGTGATTACATTGACGGCAAATTGGTCTGGTGGAATTACCGTTGCGAACAACTTCCACCATTGCCGAATTGTAAAAGAATTTGAAACTAGACTTCATATAAACGGAGGATCCAAATACACATTCACGGTGGATGATAATGCAACATTTGTTGCAACTGTAGAACCATTCGGTTGGATCTACTTTCTTCTGGCAAACTTCACACCAGTATATGTCATCTGAATCTTCTCCGCAGCAAAGGAATAGATGATGCTCATCATATTTATAGTAGATCTCATTTGGAATAGTGGCACATTGATAACATAGTGCAAACTCGCATAGAGTGCAATGTAGAGAAGAGCCATAGCATATTGTCTTGCAACCGTTGCAGCGAATCTTACCGAAGCCACTATAAGTTGAAGAAATAAACACGGGATGTTCATGACTTTGATGGGTGAAACAATCGGAAATCAAAATGCAGCGAACATTGATCTGTAGATGTTTGCCAATCCTGCAATCTTTTTTTGCGCACTTGTACCTAAATCCAGTCAATGCTCGGAAACATGAACAACAATTCATGGAATGTAGATTCTGTAGAGCTGATGTGTCTAGGACAAGCACAAGAGAGTGATTATGTAACGCATGATCCAATTTTCGAAGAAGACCAGCACATACCTCGTGAAGAAAAAATTCACATTCCACACAATTGTAGAAATCATGAGAGTTGATAGGAAGGACACATGCCTGACATTGTTTCTTTGCGTCTCGAATACCATCGTACTTCTGGAGCTTTAGACAATGGTCATGAGAGAAATGCTTGATAAAATCAACTCCTACCCTCTTGAATGGTGCAATATCTTCAGTTTGATCGGGTTCTTCAGGTTCCCATTCGAGTTCCTCCCCATCCCATACTTGTTCATGCGTTGCACATTTTGAATGAACTACATAAGAACAATCCTCAGGGCTGCAAGAGTAATTTCCATACTTGATGTCAACTTTCTTGTAGCAAATCCGGCAAGATAAGATTGTAGGTGGAAAGGTAAGGAGTGTGAGAGAGACGATGTGGATGACGCGTAATCTTGATAATCCGGGGTAAGTCGATACAACTCTGATGAATAATGTAACTACATTGGGAACAAAGGTAGCTTGGTTCCGACTTATTAACCAATCCACAAGCATCACAAGGAACCAAGAGCGGTCGGGGGAAAAAAACAAGTGAATGATGATGGCTTTTCGGGTTTGCAATGGTAAGAAAAGGAACATTTTCCGTACAAGAGACATCCAAGCAAAAGCTACAAATAGAGCAACGATAGAAAATTGGACCAAGCTCTTCACTACACCAAGTGCACTTAGTAAATATGACCTCGGATAAGGTCCCACTGATATCAACCAGTTCAGACTTCCCTTGATAAGTTGTATCAGACAGGATCTTGGTTTCGTAGTTTCGGTCGGTGAGAGTGAGAGGATGTTGAAGGTGAAAAGGATGTGCTATCTTCCTAGGAATCCGTTGACAACCAGCGTGGAACTTAACATCACATATTTTGCAGCGGTAATGGAAAGAATCTGACCAATCGGACTTGTGTTCGCCGCAAGAAAAGCAACCGGATCGAGGGTTTTTGCCGGTTCGACGGGAGAGTGTGAGGATAAGCTGGATGAGAAATGTGACATCTTTGTCCTTCTTCTTCAGTAGCCATTTTCTTTTACTTGCTTTGGTTATGATCAATGTGTGTATTGAAGAAATTATGCTCTCAGTCTCCAATCTTGTGGAGTTACAATTAAGAAAAAGTATAAAACAGAGCAATAAAAGTATAATTAATTAACAAGTTGCATTATATTTTGAAATATAGGTTGGTTTCTGCTACTTGATATAAAATATATCTACTTTTTCTGGTAATCCAAATACTAACGCGAAATTTTAATAATCATCGGATTATTAGATCATATAATTAAAATATAAATCGAACATGATAACAGCTGTAACTTACAACAACTAATTAAAAAGAGTTTCTATATTAATTAAAGTTAAAAGACTACTTTCACATCTTTTTAACACCAATGACTATTTTAATTTTAGTCTTTATACAAACGTTTACATAAAATTCTCTTTTTTTTTTGTTTGGGGCTGCTTAGTGAAACAGAGTTCTAAACCCAAAGACTTAAAATCTTAGGCCAATGCAATCCCATATAATAATTCAAATAAAACATGTGTATATGTACTAACCTCTTTTACAAAAGATGGCTTGGTGTAAAACAATCAAACACATTTTGCTTAATTATTGCAACCACTTAATAGTGGCCAAAAAACAGAGGAATTACATTCACATGAAAAACACAAACACAGGGCAATCAAATGTTGTTCATCTACTGGATTTTCCATTCCAAGTATTTTTCGACAAGATTGAGTCCACAAAACTCCTTCACAACATGCATTGTCGCTGGAACAGGCAACTCAAAGGTCAGATCAATCTCTTGTTGGCTATTACTCCATCTCTCAATCTGTTTCCTTTGCTTCTTTAACAGCTGCTCGTACCGCGCAGTGAACAGAAGCCGCTAAAAAAGCAATGGCGGTTCACCCGAAGCTGTATCAAAACATCTTCTTGAGTTTTGATCTTTTGGGTTTCACAAAGAGAAATAAACAAGGCAAATGGATACAAGTAAGAAACCTTTGGATGAAAGAACACGGTTCTTGTGCTGTCCACTATTGAGAATCTCGACATTGAACTGTCTTGGTATTGTATCAACCGTTGGGATCTTGTAAGTCCATGTACTGTCTGTTACCACGAGACCGTCTAAGTTCATTAGGTACGTACTCTTCAAGCATGAAGAACCCAAGTCCTTGAACAAATGCTCCTTCAATCTGTCCTAAATCCACTGCGGGATTTAGACTTTTCCCGCAGTCATAGATAATATCGGTGCGCATAATCGTTCTTTCGCCTGTTAAAATGTTTACTTCAACCTGTTGATTACAACCAAAGTAGTGAAATGATCTCAACAAGTAAGCTAAGAAGCAAGAAGAGCTACTATTCAATGTTTGGAGCTCTACCTCGCTTGCTGCAACTATTCATAGTTAAGGTATTGGTTCGTGGATGAATCAGGCATGTATTTGCTACTAACCGACATATTTTTCGATTGCCGATAAGCCTACAACAGAAAATTCAAGAGTATAAAACGATTCTAAGTCCATTCAAAATAACATCAAAATGCATTTAATGTTTTAAGAGTATGGACCTGACTGATGAGGTTATCCCAACTCACAGGCCCTCCTGTTTGCTCCACCAAATATGTTTTGACAGGTAAAAGCCTTTCGACTAAACCATCGCAGCAAATCCTAACAGCTTCGCAGCTTACCTCTGAGGTTGTGCTACCACCAGTTATTGAGCCTTGTACCATACTCAAGGTGTCGGATTGGATGACACGGATCTTCTCGAGAAGTTCATCGCTTGTAGTACCACACTAGATCAGTCCAAGTGAAAATGCAGCCATCTGTTTCACCTTTGTCCAAAGTCCTTGTCCTATCTCAATCCCTTGAACCTCAACCACTATTGACCCGTCGCTCAAAACACTGACTCTTCCCGGTGTTGACCGCATAAACACTCCATAAATGGGCACACGAGAGATCCCTCTCTTTCTCCACTTGTTTGTTGCATTAAACTCCTCAACCACCATCCTCCTCTGCTTAAACTCAGCGAGCTTGTCCCAAATCAACGGTAACGTGTACTCAGAAGATTCACTAGCTTTGGCATTGTGAAACAACCTTAAGCTCTCATATGTATGGAGATTAACCTCCCTAATCTCATCCACATCTATTGAAAGATATGAAGCTACTTTCTCAATGATGGCTTCTCCTATATATGATCCTTGTACATCCCCGGGAGCTCTAACCGTGATTCCGCTCACAGTGTTTGTTTTGCATACTTTGACATTGTAAGAGAGAGCACCCCAGTCATATTTCATCAGTGCTCCTTGGATCGCTAATGGCATAAACAGGCTTATATCTAAGGTTAACCCTGCATCAACCAACACCTCTACATCTAAAGCAGTAATCTTTCCATTGGATTTGAATCCAACACTATATGTCACTTTCATCGGATGTCTTCCTCCGGTTGTTATCATATCGGTTTTTCGGTTCACATATGTCCTCACCGGTCGCTGCATTTTCGATGGTGCAACTGCACAAGCTGCAGCAACCTAAGTTGATACAAAGAGAAATGTTAAAAGAAACATCAAGTACATACGAGAGTAGGAACTTTGAAAATTCCAACTCACAGGCATTGATTTGATGCCTTTCCCACCGAATCCACCTCCAACTCTTCTAGTGATGACACGAACGTTATGCTCAGGAACACCAAGACATACAGCTACGGTTCCATGTACAAACTCAGGGGCTTGAGTCGAGCTATAAACTACCGTACACTTGTCTTCATCAGGCACTGCAAGAGCTGTTTGTGTCTCCATGTAGAAGAAGTACTGTGAACCGAAACTTATCTACATATGAACCACAATCACAAAGATTATTAATATAATGATTAGAAAAGAGCAGGGCTTGAGAGACATATAGGAACCACCTTTGATCCAAGAATCTTATGTTCAGCTTCAGCCATTCCCTTGGTGATATCACCGACCGGTTTACCACGTAGAGGCGGAGGGATATCGAAAAAGCTAGACTTTTCGACAGCTTCTTCTAAGGACAGTATCGGGAGTTCTAAATTATCGGTGTCATAATCAACCACAACAAGATTTGCTGCAATATCTGCATGCTTTTGACTATTGGCAACCTTCAATAAACATTTTGAATATAAGTTCACTCTGCAAAACTGCTTCATATAATGTAATTCTTCACCGGACTTACCAAAAAGGCGATTGTCTGACCCGCGCAATGGGTGACTTCTTCTGCAAACAAAAGATCACAGCCAAATAAACCTTTGACACCAACATTTTGCCCTCCTTTGGGAATATCTCTGTAAGTTATTATCCCAAGAACTCCTTCTGGAACTCTGTTTTCCTTGAAACTTATATTCTTGATCCGCGCCAACGACATTGTACTGTAAATAAACGCGCTGTATAGACAATTTTCCGGAGAAGGAATGTCGTCTACATAAACAGCCTCACCTACAAATTCACAAAATATTATCAGAAAATCAATCATCCACATTTTCACCAGAAAATGA